TGTTTTCAGTAAAACTTTATATTTTATTTGTTCTTTTCTTTATCCTAACTCTATTCAGGGTTGGTCAATTTGACCAATCATGTAACCACCAAAATAAATCTAAATTACCCTTTTTGTTCTTTCTGGAATGACTTCAAATTGTAAAATGAAACTGCATTTGCGTATCCTAAGTCGCTTTAAACTTGTAACAGTACACAGCTATTTATAATTACATTTTATTGTGTTATTGCCCTTTGAACCATGTCTAACTGCTATCTGTGCCATTATAAGTTGTAAATCACTCAAGGAATGTGCAGCTCATGTTATGCTATCAAATTACATTACCAACGAGCTGCTCGCATGCATGCCTCGTGAAACATTTTTATCATATTATTATTATTTATTTTACCTAATCTAACCTAAAGAGATCTCTGTTTCTACATTTTGGTAAATGTTATAATAATAATAATAATAAATATAGAATAAACATGAAAAACAAGAAATAAAGTACTTACCCGAATATTCTATTTTTTTTCTTTGCTGTTGATTGTCAATGAAACTTAACCCTACTTTTTTATACTAATGGTAGTAGTGCACTAAATAATTTTTATTTAATTGAATAATACAACAAAGAGCATAAAATAATAACACGCAAAAAGTAGACAATTTCCTCTACCTATCAAAATTTTTCTGGCTTTCTAACTATGCGACAAGAGCCTTACAAACTCATCCAAGCTAGTTGTTAACTTACCCATGGGAATGAATCTTGTACTAACAGAGAAATTGACAATTCTCTGTTCAGAAAACAATGTAATATAAATTGTCATTTGATGGATGATAACTTTCTATTCGTTATAGATAATATAGAATTAAACGTAAGAGAGAACTATTAACAAACCCTAAAAGAGAGGATGTGACAGGTGGGTGTGGCAAAAGGGGTCTGATTTTCTATTTGATGGCTATGTAACCAAACAAAATTGAAGGCTATAAAAATTATGGTTTGTCTGAGCAATGACAATTTTATAGTGCATAATTAACATTTAATCTTGTACTTATTGGAGGGGTAGTGAATAAAATAGAGAAGAGGACATGCCTAGAGAAAATGTTAGATTAGGGGAAATTCAGGATTTTTTGAAGTATTGCCTTATAACATTAAGTACCTGTATACTATTTAAATGTGGATTATCAGCTATGATTTTATACTGTACTAATCGGTATAACATAAATAATAAGTAGTTTAATAAAATTTTAAATGTAAGTGGTATATGCAGTAAATGATGGCCAGGTGAATAGGGTTAATATAACAAAACCAGTTTTAATATAACATTTTTCATACAGCAGGTTGCTCAAACTTGTGGAAGAGACAATGCATGAATTGTCTATTGTATTTTTTAGGCCAATGCAAAGTACAAAGAAAAGTATGCAGCATACCTAAATAGCTTATCTGAAGAAGAAAGGCAGAGGGTGTTATCGGAGAATAAAACTCCTAAGAAGAAAAACCTAGAAGGCACACCAAATGGTAACATAGCTAAAGGAAAAACAGTGAATGCAGTTGCTACTGTTGATGATAAAGATGACAAACTGAAGAAACCAGAAACTCCTCTTGCTTTCTATCAACAAGAAAAGTTGCAGTCAGCAAAGACCAAAAATCCAGAAATGTCAAAACAAGATTTATTGAAGCAATTAACAAAAGAATTTCAGGAACTTTCTGAAAAGAAAAAGGTAACAGTTTATTTTGTAACTTGTTTATTAACAACTTTTTTGTTGATAATTTACTAATAAACCAAGCCACAATTTTGTATCTAATATCTATTATCAGTAATGGTTGATCTTTTGAAAGTAGGTGTATCTGTTAGTCAAATGCCATATTTTTGTTTAGCTTATGATGAGATTGTTTCCTAATATCATGATTCATTGTACTGTGATCATATGATGTACCTGTGGCACATACTCTAGAAACATTTCATTAAACTATGTTACTGCATTTTTTTCTTTCTGTTGCATACTTTTTCAAATCTTTTAATTGTTTTCACAGTGACATACTGTTTTTCTCTTGTGTCATCTTCTCTCTCTCTTCTTCCAAACACTTTTCAACCAACTGCCATTGATTGGAAACTTAGTTCAATACACCCAGACACCTATTTCATTTTTCTGATTTATTGAATTACCGTATTTGATGGCATATAGGATGCATGGGTATATAAGACGCACCCCCATTTCAGCAGGTCAGATTCAGTTCAGGAAAAAAAGTTTGTAGGTGTATTTAAGCATATATTGGTGAAAGTAATCTAACAGCACATTACACAAGCAGAAAACACTTGAACATAAACTAAAACACAGTAAGAAAATGGAGATACACTTTAATCATCTTCATAACCAGACAATTCTTCATCTTCGAAACCAGAAAAATCTTCATCTTCGTCACTACTGCTGGAATCACTGACTTCAAATAACACATTATCTTCTGTGCCATCAAGAGCATTGCTAATGCCACACTTCTTAAAAGACTTCACAGTGATTTTAGGCCTAACGTGATCCCAAGATTTCTTATTTCGTAGTTGGAATGCTGTACTGATCGTATGCTAGGATAGTGAGCGTTAGGAAGAAGATTAGCCTGCGGAAGGTCTCAACTTCGCATATTAGACGCAGGGCGATTTTTTGAGCCAAAATTTTGGGAAACAAGTGCGTCCTATATGCCGTTAAATACGGTAATTAAATTACAGGATTGCTTCATATTTTAAAACGAAAATAAGACAACTTTACATAAAATTAAGTGTGTATTTAATTGCTCATCAGTCTACAAATTTAACCCAAACATAATAAACTGCTAATGGTCAATTATGATATATATAAATTGATAAGAAAAGGCTACATTAATTTACAAACATACAATTTAATAGAAAAAGTACTTCATAGATATCATTAAAGTTCGTTAGCTTTTTGTTGTTTTTTTAAATAAATCACATTTTAAGGCCTTTTTCATAGTTGGAGGGCCTCAAATTTTTATATTCACATCATGGGAGCCTCAGACTAAAAGAGTTTGGGAACAACTGATATACACATTAATATTTAGTGGATGTATAGCTGCTTTATTAACCACTTCTTAGGAGAGATAACCAAACAAAAGGCTGAGATGTTCACCAGTCTTTAAACAATGAGATAAATAAGCTGAACGAGAATGCTCTTTATAGATGTATCCAAAGTTTAATTGTTCGATGGGAGAAGGGGGGATTGATACTACAGTCAGCATACATGCAAACTACATAGTTATTATAACAGACCGATAATTATATAGTTCACAACAACAAACCATTAACATTACAGTTATGTGTCAACCAGTAATTTAACAAACCATTAACATTACAGTTATGTGTCAACCAGTAATTTAACAAACCATTAACATTACAGTTATGTAATAATGGTTGGACCGACCATCATTAGTCTCAAAGTGGGTTCCTCGTCATCGAAATTACAGTTATATGTCAACCAATAATTTAACAAACCATTAACGTTACAGTTATGGGTCAACCAGTAATTTAACAAACCATTAACATTACAGTTATGGGTCAACCAGTAATTTAACAAACCATTAACATTATAGTTATGTGTCAACCAGTAATTTAACAAACCATTAACATTACAGTTATGGGTCAACCAGTAATTTAACAAACCATTAACATT